CCCGCATCGGGCTCTGGGCTGATGGCTCAGAGCCTGGAGCCTGTTTCTGATTCTGTGTCTCCCTCTCTCTCTGCTCCTCCCCCGTTCATGCTCTGTCTCTCTCTGTCCCAAAAAAAAAATAAATGTTGAAAAAAAAATAAAAATAAAAATAAAAAAAATAAAAGCATAATAGTCGATTGAAAGAAAGGGCATATGATCAAGCATAACAAGTAACAAGTGTTTCCAAACCACTGATGACGGTGACTGTGGACTGCGTTGTCTGCTCTTGTGTCCTGGGGCTTTGTCCCCTGCCTTGTGCTTAGGGCACAAACTTCAGGGCATCACCCCTCTACTTGCCTTCCAGAAGTTTCACAGTAGTAATCAACTTATTGGTGGTGTTTGGAGTGTGTGTGTATGCTGCTAACTTCTACAAGGCTAACTGAAAGCTGCTCACATGTTATCAGCACCAGGTATCCATCATGCAGGGAACCCAGATTTGCAGATATAAAGAGGATGAGCCTGTAGCATTGCACTGACGTGTTTCAATTATACCCTTGCAGCGTAGACGCAAAGATAGGCAATGCCAAGCCCTGTACAAGTAGAAATGGTAAGAACCACATGGTTCTAGAAGAAAGCTCACCAAGTGCTGGGACAGTCGGAAAAGGCTCCAGATCAGAGACAGCGCTTGCACTGGGCCTTCCGTCCATCACAAATGCTTGGTAAGTGTCCACTGTATACAGGCACCAGCCAGAGTTTCGCAGACAGCAGTGAGCAAACCAGCAGCCATGCCCCGTCGCCATGTGTGAAAGGGGAACCAAAAGGAAGCCAGCACACAAGACCCCTCGTGACTGAGGGAAAAGCAGCACCAGAAGAGCTCGCAAGGTAGGTGGCCCGCTGCTCTTTGCATCAAGGAGCTGAAGGCAGAGGTATGGAAGACAGACACCCAGACCCGGCTTTTACAAAGATTTGTTCTTCCATTCAGAAGTGGACTGAGCATCTACAGTCTGCCACACACAGGTGGAGAAAGAGAGCGGAGGCTTACGGAGGAACCGCCATCCCCACGTGAATCATCACAGCACGGCCAAAGAGCAGCACGTTCCATAGAGCAGAGGGGCCAAGAGACGAGCCAGAAGGCCGGAGGAAGAGGAGACCTCTGACCTGCAGGATCTGTACCAGGGACCACAGCAACCTCTGGGTGGAGAGCGAGGGCACAGCACTGAGGAGGCGGAAGGGTGTGTCAGAGGCAGGAGAAGGCATTTCGGAAGGCTTGCTGAGCTGCTGGGCTCCTCGCTAAGGGAAATGGGAACCTCCAGGGCAGTTCAAGCAAGGAGTGATATGATCCAATTTAACTTAAAAAGATCAACCTTTTTGCTGTGGGACAAAATTGAAAACAGGGAGACCCATTTGTGTCTCTTGCAGTGAATCAGACTACGGTGAAGACAGCTGGACCCATGGTCCTCAAACCTTTTGCACAGTATCTAATAAACTAATTTTGTGAAAACTTATAAGCCCCCACGTTTAAGATAATGGCAAAATTTTACATTATGTTTAAAACGTTAAATTTTTATTTTGAGAGAGAGCACGTGCGCGTGCACACGTGCAAGTGGGGGAGGGGGAGAGAGAGACTGAGCCACCCAGGCTCCCCAGAGACAATCTTAAACAGGCTCTATGCTCAGTGCAAAGGCCAGTGCAAGGCTCAATCCCAGGACCCTGGGATCATGACCTGGGCTGAGATCAAGAGTCGGATGTTCAACCAACTGAGCCACCCACGCACTGCCCCCATTATGTCTAAATAATTGCAATGAATGTAATTTCCCAGACGTAAATATTGACTTTTAAAATAGATCATGACATCGTTCCTTAAATGTATGAAATGGATCCCGAGTGCCATTTTGATTTGAAACCCACTAGCATATGTTTTTATAAACATACAAACAGTCTTCTTGGGTAACCAGAGTTTAATTAAATCCTTTACTCCTAAACTCATTTCCGTTCAAATTCTCCCACAAATTTTATCCTAAATAACAATGTTTATGCTTGAGTATTTATTGATGAACTTATGATTTACCCCTGGAGAGAGACACACACATATGTACACATTAATTTGCAATTCCTGCAGATGTAAGCCTCATATTAAAATATTTCTCTTGGATTGAATTACTATGGCAGCCATTATTAACATATGGTTGGTGAAAGCAATATTAATATTTATATGCAGGTTTCGATTAAAACTAAAAAATTGAGTATATTGGAGGTTTGTCTCCTAATAGTATGTGGGGCCTTTTTTCCTTGAACCTAGCTCATACATCCGGTGATGAGAATTCCTGGAGTGGGGCAGGGTACAGAACCAATATTCTCACTCGTCATGAATGCATACACATAAGTGAACAGAACAAGAGGAAGTTTTATTACAGCAACCTAACACCGTTCTGGGAACCTCTTCTGGTTGCAGGTGCTACGGGAGAGCTGACCAGAGACTGCAGAGGCCTTGCAGGACTGGGAGGTGCTGGAACTTGGTGCAACCCAGGCAGCAGCTGAGACACCAGAAGGGCCACGCCCCAGGAGTCAGGGCAGCACACGAGGAGTAAGGGACAAAGTAAATTACCTGAAGTGAAGAGCTCATTGAATTTTCTGAACAATAGACAGGGCACAGCTGAAGAGAGGGTTTTTCAACTCAAAGTTCCATCAGGAGAAAGCACCTGAAAACTCAGAAAAAAAAAAAATCAAAATGAGAAAAAGATAACAAAGCAATGTTAGAGATGTGTGAACAGGATCGAATGGTCTGATGTACAACAGTCGAAAGTTGTACTTCCAGAAGGAAGGAGAAAGAAAATGGAGTAGAAATATTTGAAGGGAGAATGTGTAAGAATTTTACACAGTGGGGCGCCTGGTTAGCTCAGTCGGTTGAGTGTCCGACTCTTGATCTCATCTCAGGATGTGACCTCATGGTTTGTGAGATCGAGCCCTGGGAGTGGAGCCTGCTGGGGGTTCTCTCTCTGCTCCTTCCCTTCGCTTGTGCTCTCTCTCAAAATAAACATAAAGAATTTTACAAATTGATAAGAATACACCAACCACAGATCCAAAAAGTTTGGTAAACCCCAAAGAGAACAAATTCAAAGAAAAACATGTGGACGCATATCACAGTCCAGCTTCTGAAAACCAAAGATAAGAATAAAAGTCCTAACAGGAGAGGCGCCTGGGTGGCTCAGTCGGTTAAACGTCTGACCTCGGCTCAGGTCATAATCTCACGGTTTGTGAGTTCGAGCCCCGTGTTGGGCTCTGTGCTGACAGCTCGGAGCCTAGAGCCTGCTTTGGATTCTGTGTCCCTCTCTCTCTCTGCCCCTTTCCCACTTATGCTCTGTCTCTGTCTCTCTCTCTCAAAAATAGACGTTAAAAAAAAAGTTCTAGAAGGAGACAAAATTGAAAAGACACATCACATTCAGGGAGACTTCATGCGAATGACTTATCACAAGCAGTGGTGCCAGAATACAGAGACGGCATCTGCAAAATGCTGAATGTCAAGCGGTCCTCCAGACCAGTATTCAATACCTAACCAAGATATCCTTCAGAAAGTAAAGACGCAATTAATTTTAACACACGTAAAAAAAGGTATTTTCAGATGAACAAAAGCTGGAGAATGTCACCGGAAGAGGCCTTCAGGAAAGTAATGACGTTTTTCAGGCCACAGGAAGGTGGCGGCAGTGGCATCCCAGACCTGCACGAGGGCACGAAGACCTGGGCAGACGATGGAGTGGGTGACTGCAAAAACATTTAAAATAACTTCTTTAAAAAATTATGGAACAAATGCTTGAAGCAGATTTTAAAGTCACACGTTCCGGGCTTTAGAGCAATGCTGTGCGATACAGTTTCTGACGCGTTCAGTCACGGTGCCTGCCCAGCACAGGAGCCGCCGCCCCGGGGGGAGCTCGTGGGCACTTCCAGTGGGGCTAGTGGAACTGAGGAGCTGAGCTTTAAGGCTGCATTTGGTTATAATTAATGTAATTGTATGTTTAAATAGCCACACGTGGCTAGTGGCTACCAGATCAGATAATGCAACCCACAGAAATAAAAAATACGATCACAAGAGAAGAAAAGATGAGGGAAGTCGGTGTTATTTCACTGTTTTGAGGTTCTTACCTGGTTAATCAAATGGTGTATGATTCCAAAGTGAGCCGTGGTAAGTGAAGGGTACTTACTGTAATTTATAGCTCAACCACTAATAGAAGTATAAATCTATATATTATATATGTTATATAATACCTATAGGTCAAAAAATATAAGGGGATAAGATGGAATTTTAAAAATACGTGAATAGTCCAATAGGCCAGGAAGAAGACAAAAAGCTCAGATGGAACAAATACAGAACAAGGTTGTGGCTTTAAACCCAACTGTGTCAGTTACTATATTAAATGTGAATGTGTGGGGCGCCTGGGTGGCGCAGTCGGTTAAGCGTCCGACTTCAGCCAGGTCATGATCTTGCGGTCCGGGAGTTCGAGCCCCGCGTCGGGCTCTGGGCTGATGGCTCAGAGCCTGGAGCCTATTTCCGATTCTGTGTCTCCCTCTCTCTGACCCTCCCCCGTTCATGCTCTGTCTCTCTCTGTCCCAAAAATAAATAAACGTTGAAAAAAAAATTAAAAAAAAAAAAAAGTGAATGTGTGGAACAGTACAATTAGAAGCCGGAAACTTTAGACTGAGTAGAAAAGAAAAGAGAAAAACCACCTGACCGATGAGTTTACAAAACATTCTTGCAATCTAAAGACGAAGACAAGCTGAAGGTTCGAGGATGGGTAAAGCCGTGTCACGCAGACACCTGGCATCAGACCAGGCCGCCTTAGGTAAGGGCTGTCACAGGAGGCTGGTCCACGGGGTCAACTGTGGGTTGACAGGGTCAACTCAGCAATAAAATGCAAGAATCCTAAGTGCATATCGTAACAGTCTCCAGGACTCCTGGCTGGCTCAGTGGAGCGTGTGACTCTTGATCTCTGGGTTGTGGGTTCAGGCCCCACGTTGGGTGTAGAGATTGCTTAAAAAGACGAAATCCTTGGGGAGCCTGGGTGGCTCAGTCGGTTAAGTATCCAACTTTGGCTCTGGTCATTACCTCACAGTTCGTGAGTTCGAGCCCCGCATCGGGCTCTGTGCTGATAGCTCGGAGCCTGGAGCCTGCTTTGGATCCTGTGTCTCCCTCGTTCTCTGCCCCTCCCCCCCTCACGCTCTGTCTCTCTCTCTCAAAAATAAACATTAAACTTTTTTTTAAAGGATGAAATCTTTAACAAACCTAACATCCAAACGTTCAAAGCAAAAATCGACAGGTCTGAAATGAGATAGAAAAGAAGCTACAAATATAGTTCAAGATGTTAACATTTGGCTATGCAGGTACCAGAACGAGCAGGCAGAAAAGTCTAGAAGGCAAAGAAAGAACAACGAGGCCTGGACCTTCCAGTGTTTATGTCAGGCAGGCCTGGCTGGAGAAAGTGTTGTCAGAACCCTATGCTAGTTGACAAACCACTTGTGCAGCGTTTTCTGCGTGCCAGGTACTGCTTTAAGGACTCTGTGGGTATTGACTCAGGCTGCCCTGTGATAGAGCTCTACTGGACAGACGCTCCAATGGCCTGTATCACACCCGGGCAGCGAGGGCTCAGTGACCTGCCCACTCCAGACCAGCCTATACTGCCCTACACGGTAAGCAAAACTGAGGCTTCCTCTATATGCCACTCAGTAAAAAGGGTGCTAATTCTTAATGTTATAACTGTGAATTTTTATAGTCTCTAAGAAACATAAATCAGAAGAAAATCCGCCACTGCCGCTGGTTTCATTTAACAAGATAATACAATGCGATTGCAAGTCCTGTGGTCCTAAGAATGTCACCCCGTGTCTCAGCATTTTCCCCTAAGCTGAAACACCTTCAGAGGCTCGGCATTATGCACCAGGCGAAAGCCAGACCCAGCAACCTGTGTTTCCTGCAAACAGACGTTCTCCCTGTCCGGCTCCGGCCCAGATTTCCGTTTCCTCGCACTGCTCCCGGGTGGTGTGGGTGACCTGTGCCCACCCCAGAGCTGTTGGGCTCTGCCTACGGCTTGCCTGTGCCATACTCCCCTCCAGACAGCCCCCTTCCCCGCCTATTCCCGCATCAGCCCTTGTTCATACAGCTTTCCCGCCTGCAGCCAGGTACCCTCCTCCCCATCGATCCAATTCCCTCTTGACACAGTACAGTTGGCACTTGAACAACTCGAGGGGCAGGGTCGGGGCACCGACTCCCTTGACACCCCCAAAACTTTACTAATAGCCTGCTGTTGAGGAGAAGGCTTACCAATAACATAAATGGTTGATTAACAATATGTTCCTTGTTCTATGTTTTATATACTGCATTCTTACCAAAGAAAAGGAAGCTAGAATAAAAACAAATGTTAGTCAAATCCTAAGAAAAACATTGATGGTAGTGTTGTTTTCGGAAAAAAAATCCACCTGTAAGGGGACCTACGCGTTTCAAACCTATGTTGTCCAAGGGTCCACTGCGTTTCTTCATTGTGGCCATTCTGTGCACACGGCCCCGGGCCCCAGGACTAACCTGTGTGCGTGTAACACTTATTTGACATTTAATAACTTCTAGCCTGATGATGTTTCTTGCTGCCTTCCTTTCATTGTTACTTAGTTTCTGTGCTGTTAGGTCTTACCTTCCCAGCTGCTGGGGCCTCCAGTTAAGGCCTCTGAGTGATTCAGTGCCAGTAGTAGATTGTCAGTATGTGTCCGTCTCACGAAATCCTGTAACTGTGTTGACTCGGCTGCCCAGCGCTCCTATTGCGTTCAACTCATTGTGGCTGTGGGTACACACAGGAGACAAATATTCTAAATGGTCTTATTTTGGCCAAGCTTTCAAAGAAAATATAAGCTATACTCATGAAAATACGGCCCTGCTGATAATACTGTAAATTTAAAAAGTATGGGGTGCCTGGGTGGCTCAGTCAGTTGAGCGTCCGACTTCAGCTCAGGTCATGATCTCACAGTTTGTGGGTTCGAGCCCCCCATCGGGCTCGTGCTGACAGCTCAGAGCCTGGAGCCTGCTTCGGATTCTGTGTCTCCCCCTCTCTCTGCCCCTCCCCCCACTCATTCTCTCTCTCCCTCTCTCTCTCTAAAATGAATAAACATTAAAAAATTTTTAAAAATAAAAAGTATTATGGATGTAAGTACTATATTAAGTAAATAATAAGTTTCACAATTTCTGGTTTTCTTCTTTATAGAAACACAAATACTACAGTGTAAAAAAACATACATAAACCATCTGCTACCCAGCCTCCTGAGACGAATGAGCTGTTCTGGTTGATTAAACGTCCTGGGCTCTGGGGCAGGAGTAGGCTGTCGGGGTGTCCCTCTGCCAACATCTCCATAGCACCAGGCGAGGAGTAGGCATTTTGTGTATTTGTCACATCCCTGAAAGGAATTGAGGTCTACTTGATAAATCCAAATTGATAGGATTATGAAGTTTCGGACAGTTGTAAACAATCACAACCACCTGACATCAAAACCTTTCTGATGGTTTCAGGGGTCCCCTGTCGCCCGTGAGTATAATTACCAGTACCATTTTGTCAGTGTCATGGTAGATACACAGAAGTACCTATCAGCATAGAGCTCACCCCAGTTGGTGTAAGTAACTATATTGGTATATAGATCACTAAACAAAAGCAACAGATTCTTGAATATTGATTTGCTGAACTTGTGCCCTGTTTGATCTATAGAGTATCATCCCAATCAAAACCTCATCTGGTTTTTCTTATAAAAGTTGACAAGATGATGTTTTTTATTTTTAAAAAAAAATTTTTTTTCAACATTTATTTATTTTTGGGACAGAGAGAGACAGAGCATGAATGGGGGAGGGGCAGAGAGAGAGGGAGACACAGAATCGGAAACAGGCTCCAGGCTCTGAGCCATCAGCCCAGAGCCTGACGCGGGGCTCGAACTCACGGACCGCGAGATCGTGACCTGGCTGAAGTCGGCCACTTAACCGACTGCGCCACCCAGGCGCCCCAGATGATGTTTTTTAATT